TGTATGCATTCTATTGAGACACATGACGAGAAAAAAAACTATTTTATTGTACTGTAGAATCTACAATAAAATCTTGTAATGTGACCCGTGTATGTATTTTAAATCTGCTAACACAGCTTTCACACAACGAATAACCCTTACACAAAAAAAGCTGATTATTATATGCACATGTCAAATACTCTTTTGATTTGAATACAAATAGGAGTAGTCAAGAAAAACAAATGTGAGTTCAACACTTAAAACAAAAAAAAGCTAGAGCTGCGCTTTTCCTACCATCTGTAAAAAAAAAAAAAAAAAGGTTATGACTTTTTGTTGCTATAGTAACAGTTTAACTTTCCGTACCGCTAATTTCTCATTGTCTGGCTTTCTGTTTAAGTCTTTGCACACAACAACAACAACAACAACAACAACAACAACAACAACAAAACACAAAATCTAAAGCAACAGTTCAGTTTTGTATGCTGTTCATGCATGTGAAGCCAAATAAAATAAAAAACCCAAACAGATGTAAAGTTACCTGTTGGAGCGCTGTCTAATATCCTCACGTCGTAAGCTCCGGAACAGCGGTAGTTCGCGGCGGTCCCGTTATCCCAGACAACCACCACCTCCTCTGGACTTTCAAAACTCCTGACGGTGCCGACATGTCCCTCTCCACCGTCCTGCTTCCCCCACTTCCAGTCAGGTCCGCGGACCACCCTCGCCCCGACTCCTTCCATCATCGCTCGATTATTCCTGCCGGTCGTCATTTTTTTTTTTTAAAGAAGAACCGGTGTTTTGCAATTCTTCCAAAAAAAATAAAAATAAAAAAATAAGCAGGCTTAGTCACTGCACTGGTGAACAGTCTCCAAAAAAAAAAAAATGCAGAGTGCAAGCAAGAACAATCCACAAAGCTAGCCTGCGAGCTAAGTTAGCTACCAAAAAAAGGAGCCTTTAAAAACTATTCCCACAAGCTAATGTTGGTTGCAAGCTAGGGCCTCCGAAAATGTTGCTTCCGAGAATAAAACTAGTTACCCCCGAATTCTTGTGAGAAGCCACATTGTTAAGCTTTGCTGAATCTCAGTACTCTGCAAGCTGTCTGCTGCCTCTCCTCCACTCCACACACAAGAATGCCACCTCTTCAACTTAGCAAGCCAAGCGAGCCGAGTTGCTAGCTATCGCAATGCTAGCTGGTATAAACCTCTCCCAAGTCCTTATGGTTGAGGTAAATGTGGTCCTTTTTTGGCGGCGGCTTAATCCTGATTGTTGTTTGTCCGTGGCAGTGAAAATATATCCAAGGTGTTCCCTTTGTCAGCCAGAGATGGTTCCCTGGAGTCAACTCAGAATAAACGCGTCGCCATTATTGTCAATCATCGTTCAGACCTCTCAGACGAGCAACAACTAGCTACGGAGGTGCACGACAAAACCCGAAGACTAGAGTCTGGCAAAAAAAAAAACAAGCACGAGTCCAGCCTCAAGTGCGCATGCGCATGAGCACCTGTTCAAGACCATTCATTCCGAGCTCAGTGAATGGATGAGAACATATCACATATCAAACTGTATTGTGGGCTCATGTTTTTTTGTATGGGTGGGATATGTATGTATATTTGTGTTGTGTGTTTGTATGTATGCTGGCTGCTGGAACACCTACATTTCCTTGCTGGGATGAATAAAGTATATCTTATCTTATCTTATTTTACACAATTTAAAAATCAAGGTTTGAATTGAAACTGTGGCAGGAAAGTTAATATTGTATAGGGCAATATATTTAGAATGATTTCCATACCGGATAGATGTATTTGTTTGGTGAAGGAACATAATAGATTGATCGTTTGTTTTAAGACTAAATATACTCATATACTGTATGCATTCACAAACAAGCCCTTATTCCAGATTTATTCTCTAAAGTGAATAATGCATTAATAGTTGTTTTATTCAAGCTCAATCGTAATATCTTTACAGCTGACTGAACTGATGGCAACTGACATTAATTCCACTATTCATAGCTAAATAAGATCCAACCCACAAGAAGTGGCAGCAGCAGCATGAATGTGTCAAGAGGCCACTTGTTGATAAGTAAAATAATTAGTTTTAATTGTAGATTGAATAGGCCTATGTCATATATTACTGAACATAGTTCTTGATTAACACATGCAATTTTCACACAAAGTATATCAATATGTATTCACTGATCATAGTTGATGACAAGCAGGGTTGGAGTCTGTAATTATTCATATGGTACATCACAACTTAATACACATTTCCAGATGGATTACAGAAACGTCACTATATAATAATAATAATAATAACTTTATTTATGTAGCACCTTTTAAAAACACAGGTTTACAAAGTGCTTTGACAAACAGCAAAAACAAGAACAAAGCAAACTAAAGCAAACACAGAAGAACATAACAAATGCAAAATATTAAAAATAATTGAATACAATTCAACAGAAAAGAACCCAAAGTGCACGATACCCTACAGACATATATAACCCGACCATCACAAGAACCATCATAAGAACCCAGGCAACACAAGAACCCAACAACAAGAGCTGAGGCCAAGAGGACCAAAGATTTAAAAAGATGTTAGAAACTAAAAGAGCTAAAAGCAAATAAAAAAATAACAGCAATAAGAAGGTAAGAGCAGTAAAAGAAATAGAAACAAGTGATTAAAGGATCAAAAAAGCAAAGTAAAATAAAGCAAAGCAAGTAAGATAAGAAATTACCAAGTTCAAACACAAGAGGAGTTAAGATATGAGCATAAATATGAGATAAGAGCATAAATAAAAGGAAACTAAGAAGTAAAAGAAGCTAAAAACAGTAAAACCATTAAGAAAAGACATTAAGAAGACGACATCACATAAAAGCAAGTCTGTAAAAGTACGTTTTAAGAAGGGATTTAAAAGAATTGAGGGAATCTGCAAGTCTTATTTCCTCAGGGAGGTCGTTCTCAGGGTTGTTCTCAGGGAGATCTCAGGGAGGTCGTATGAAGACAAAGAAACTTGTAACAAAGTCAAAGTCCAAAGATGACTGATATAATGCCACGTTTTTGCTCCTCTGAAACAGTATCAACCTAAGAATGGGACGATACTCCTTACCTTACAATCCAAATAACCAACCTAAAATTGTTTTTCTCAACTCACATCAGAGTCTGAGAACACCAAACACTTTTTGCATTTTGAAAATCTTTTTTAGAGTTCTATCTTAAAACATTTAAAGGCCACTTTCATTTTAGTTTATAGTGTGCTAGTGAATACAATGTAGACACACCAGAATGTCAGTTAATTCCCTTACAACAACAAATTGTGAACTAGGGAACCAGGTGTGTTCCAACCTTGTGGAAAGCCTCAGGGGAGGCTTTAATTAAGTTTCCCCATAGGGACATTCTCTGCATTTTTTTTAAGGATTATTTTCAGAAATGGAAGGGCTGGCCTGATGCGTAAGCTGTTCTTACATATATATGTCTGGGGGTTCCTGGAACATCTAATTTGCAATTCTGTACATCAGAGAGCTCTGAGGTCCTTCTTGGGAGTCCATAAATTAACGCCAGTCCTCGCTGTGAATGGAGATATGGGATGGGAGCCTTTCAAACATCAGACATAAATGTGAAATGCTTCAGCTTTGCAAGGCTTCGGAATAGACTTGCAAAGCTGTCGGATCAGCGACTCACAAAAAATATTTTTATTTGGGATACCTGCCATTGTCACCCATGGGCAAAGGAGATCAAATCTGTATTCCATAAGAATAATATGTCCTTTATTTTTCTAAATAACTTAACTTGTGATATTCAGGAGATAAAAAATAATATGTTTCTAATGTACAAAGAGAAATGGTGCAAACCAAAACTAAGAACATACTGTCTCATAAAGGATTGCTACAGCTTAGAAGCCTATACTAAATTTAATTTAACTAAAAGACAAAGATCCCTCTGCGCTCAACTACGTTCAGGAACTTTGCCTTTAGCTGAAGAGACCGACATGTTTAATTCCATTCCAGAGGAAGACCAAGTTTGTTTGTTGTGTGAGTTAGGACAAAATTGAAAACGAGATTCACTTTTTGTTTTACTGCCCGAAGTATGCTGACATCAGGGATGATCTTTTTTAAAAGAATGTCTTTAAATTATGTTGGTTTCTTTTGGTTAGACGATTATGAAAAACCTGAGTTGTGTTTTAAAAAAGGAACCTTGGTTATAGCAGATTTTGTTTGTAAAGCCTGGGGGAAAAAGACAGAACACATTGTTTAACACTGAACTTTGACAGGAGCTGGCAACTTTGTAATGTTATGATTTTTTTGTGAACCACTGCAACTGAATTCTCTGGTTTCTTTTATAAGCCCATGAGGGTTGGGCACTTTGTGTGCATGACACGAAAATAAACTAATCATCATCATCATCATCATCATCATCATCACATACCTAGTTGTTTTCTGAGAGCTTAGTTATATCCATTTAGATCAGGGGTCCCAAACTCAAACTGGCATGGGGCCACTGGGAGTACTGTCGACTTAAAGGAGGGCCACTACAAAGTTCAAGCACCACAAAAAGGACTTTATTTTTGCAAATGTACTTTTTGTTTCCGCAAAATTTTGTCACACATCACTTATACAAACAGCAGTTTATATACATTTTTCAAAACATCTGCTTTTATTTAGTAGTGCAAGTCTTTTGTGTTTGCTTTACAACTTAAATAACTAAAATAACTTAATCAAATAATAAATAAAACCCTGCACTGAACCAAAAAAATGCAGTTACTCAAAAATACCAATACATTAATCCTGCATTCTATTTCTTGCCAGACATCTAAATTTTAGATGCACCGAAGAGCAGCCCGTCCAGGATCATGTGCTCTCATCGTTCCTCCGCATGTTTGCAGTTCATCTGAAATTCCTGCAGGGGGCGTCACACTGACTGTGAGCGGCTGAAACCACTGAAAGCTGGTCAAAGAGCGCCACCGCTCGATGACACTCGTGTAAAAAAATAAATCTCCCCCCACGTCAGGTCCCCCCCCCCTCCCCCTCCCCAACTTGACTGTCTCCTTCATTCACAGCGGGCTCACAGGCAGACAGACAGAGCTGACTTTCAACCGAGCTGCCCGCTGTCCTCGCACTCTGGGTGACAACAAGGGACCTTGCAATGATCTCGCTGGACTTTAATTTCAACATTTTGACAAGGGACCTTTCGCATTATCTGGAAAATCAAGTGAAAGTTGGATTATTCGGTTCGGGAGTAGGGCTGTCTCTGGTGCTCGGTTTCAGCGCAGCATACACCTGCTACTATCTGATTTCAGTAGCGAAGGTAAGCACATTGGATGGTTATGGCGTCTAAACCTCGAAGGGATCATTTCAACCTTTATTATTAAGCCTGTTTGAATTGAAACGATGTCGCCGATGGAGGCGCGTAGTCATGCCTGTGATGGTACTCGACAGCCCGGTACACTGATGCAGGGTTTTTTTTCCGCATCTGTCCACCGGTGTGGTAACGTTACACTCCTCCACATGTGGGATTCATAACAGCCACAAGAAGACTCACAATTTAATCAGAGATCAAGAATGTCTCTATAATGAATATATGTAGCGTTACATCAACGTGTACTCTTACGTAACTACAACAAAAAGGGTTACAGATGTCGAGCTAGGCTAATGTCACTGTGTGTTAGCTAAAACATGCCGGGTTAAAGTTATGCATGCTACAGTCACAGTGGTGTGTTCATAGCTTAATGACCACTGTTTATTATTTGTTTGTTTAATACAAAATTATAAACAACAAACACTGTTTTCCAACCATTATATAACATACTACACCTCAATTTAGTATTGCATGGTGCAGTATTCCTACCAACACAACATGTTTTCAAAGTGGAGCCAATAATGTTCTATTATTATATTATGTTATTATTATTATAATCTATATTATGTAACAAATGTGTTACTTAGCTATCTTTTTATCTGGCTTTAATTTTTTTAATAATTGTATAGCCTTAGTCAACATTGTTATAATTTTTTTTTTTTTTTTTACATTTGGTTTGATTTTAATTTATTAATTCCTACATATTTTATTATTTCTAACTGTATTACCTTCTAGTTTATGTTTAAATTATTTTATTACCGTCTTTTCTCTTTTAGTCTTTTAGTATTTTATCTATTGTTGTCCATTTCAACGACTTTTATCGTTGCTTTGTTAAAGAGAAGTAAAGATGCAGGTTCATGCAGATGTGTTCATCGCACATCCTTAATATCAGAAGGATTCTCTGTTTCTGTTTGTTTTATTACAGTGATAAAACTGCTGTCGTGTTCAATCATATTGCACTGGCGGCAATTTCTTCTTTCAAACCTGTGTCACACTCTGCTCACTTGTATTTTACAGAAGCCACAGCTCATCTCTGGGGGTAAGAAGTTCTACCAGTTTCTGAGGGAACAATGTCCAGTAGTGTCAGAGACCTACTACCCCACCTTTTGGTGCTGGGAGAGCCGCATCCAGACTCTGTTGAGACCCTTTGTCACAGCCAAACCTGGGGTCAACTACAGAAAGTAAGTCCTCACGATCCATCCCACAGCACAAATACAGACACACATCACATGGTGAAAATGTGTATTACAACTCATTAAACACGTATCAAATAGATTAAAAGAAATGTCATCAGACACAGTAAATGTGGATATACTGCAGGATTTTTCCTAAAGGAAAAAGCTTAATTTGGAAATTTGAAAAAATGTGCTTAGTCAGAAGTAACTTCCATTGCTAATTTCTCTATTTCTTTCTTCCCAGTTTCACAACTAACAAATCCCAGTTCTGTTCTTAGCTTGGATTCAAAAGCTCAGAGGAGAAAGAGATCTTTTGTGGGCTGTTGCTGGCTCGGTCCGCCCTGCCTGCTCCCTCATAATGTACTTTCTGTTGAAGATTAATTGGCACCGCATTCCTTGCCCCCTGTGAACATAAAGCAGATTACAATTCCTTAATTAAGAGGGACTTTATTTATAATGTATTTATACACATTGAGTTGTGAGGTACATTTCTGTGTGAATTTTGACTTTCCCAAATGTTGCTGTACATTCTTTTTTATTCTGGGTACTGTTGTGGGTAAAAAGGAGAGACTGTGTATTAATTGTGTGATGTGGTGTGATTGTCTGTCGTTTGTGAGCCTGCCACTCAGAGAAAGATGATATCAAACTGAGTTAATATGCTTTGACTTTGATAACTCTTAATGTTAAATCTGAATCCAAAATCCAAATATAACATTTTGATAAGATTCTTTTACATTTATTCTTTTGAACATTTACATTTTTCATTTAGATGCTTGATCAAAATTGGCATTCATAAAAAAATGCTCAATTTTAGTTACTTAATTTCTTTAGTTGATTTAAGAACTCCTTTTTCAAGGACAAATAATGTCCAATAATTCAAAGTGACTCCATTCACCCTATAGTCTATGTGGCTGTTATAAAGCATACTATCACATTGCCTGAATTATTATCACATTTCATGGGGGGGCAACAGGACACCCCCTCCTCCTAATGAAGTTACCTGAGGGTGACTCAAGGACAAGACTGACTTGTTTGTCATTGGCTCTCTGGGTGAAATTCCACTCATCTCTTTTGTCTGTGTGTGGATTAGCACTGGCATGGCGTGTCCCCCCACTTTGCACACTGGTCACTCTGGATTGGCTGCTGCTGACTTTGAAGTCCAGCCTCAGGTGCATATTTCATGGCAGGTTCTGTAATTTCATGCTGATGTCTTTACCAAGCTGGCCAGCCAAGCTAGCTCACTGGCTGCTGCGTGTTTTTGTGTGCAATGCAGGCTTTAAAATGCACTATAGCACTTGGAGTTAATGACCTCATCTGCCCTGTGAGGGTTGTAATCGCCTGGAAATTGATTGATCATAAGAGCCCAGTGCTGCAATGCCCTCCTCCTCCTCATCTTCACCTGCATGGTGTTGCAAAGCACACTGACAAGATGATCAAACAAGGCAGCTGACAGTGACGGTTGTTCTCACATATCGAATTCCCTTTTGGCAGAGTAAGATGTAGATCCAATGAAGTAATCGCCTTACCTGTAATTGAAGAGAGGGTATCAACTGTGAGACTTGAACCACAGTGTTGACCATTCAGTGCAGATATGCATTTCAATCAAAACTCATATATTAAGTGTCAACATTGTCAAGTATGTGTGCTTAAGGGTTTGCATGTGTCTGGGTGAGACAAATAAATAGATAAATAAAGATAAATGAGCTCATTGCACGTCTGGCTTGTCTCTGCAGTGAGCTCATTAAGGCGGCAGATGGAGGACAGATCTCTTTGGATTGGTTTGACAACGACGACAGCCTCGCTCATCCCGACCCCGCCACTAGACCTACTGTCCTCCTCCTCCCCGGTCTGACCGGCACTAGCCGAGAGTCCTACATCCTGCACATGGTCCAACAGAGCCGAGATCTGGGTTATAGGTGGGTGGTCTTGGCAGGATACTCTGGAAGAGGGCCAGGGCTGAGGGACAAACTCAGGGCACTAAATCACACAAATGACACTCTATGGAGTTTGTGCTCTGATTTCTTCTGTAATCCGGCATGCAGATAATTTGTCAAGTCAAAGTCAATACATCGCAGCAGCCATGCAAATATTCATAAAGAGGCAAACGCTGACACTCAGTATCATTGCAATACTGTCATTTTATATAGCAGATGAATCAGGGTCTCAGGGTTATTTCAGGTAAAGGGCACAAATAAAGTGTGCAGCAAAGCTCTCTGTCAAGAGCTCCCTTAGTAAATAGCCAAACGTTGCACAAGCTTGAAGAGCTGCAGAGGGTGGCAGTTTTCTCCCCCCCTTTCCCCCTCTCCATTTTCTCTGTGTTCAATGCACTCATTCTTTCAACCAGATTTGGGAAAGCATGGGAAGAGGCTGGCAAACTCAGCATCTTCCACCCCTCACCCCTGTCTGTGTAGCTTAATGAATTATAGCTTATCCCGGTGCAAGCTTTGCAGCTTAGCTCCAGACCAGCTTCAGAGTTTATGCTGCAGTACCACCGCCTCCCATGCCCTTTAGGTCCAACACCCCCATCCCTCCCCGTCCTGCTGCTGAGTTACACGGATGCAAACGGCAATTCTGAATCCAACAGATAATAGATGACTGGCGAGAGATGAGGGGAGAGGAGATGCCTTTGCTCTGCAGTACAAACACACTCCTCTCCACACAGCTGCCCTCTTTTTGCACACCTCATCATATTCCCACTTCAATTTTTTTTTTTTTTTAAGTAGGGAACATTTGTTTAAATGAATGTAGGCCACAGTGTTCTGCTGAAAATGCAAAGTTGTTAACTTGTAGTGACAACAAAAAGCAACAACAAGCTGACTAGAATTTACAAACTAGAAATCCTTGAGCATATGTTGTAAAAACAAAACAAACCTTTTAATGTATGGCTTCAATTTATAAATATTTGTGTCATTCATTGATCTGCAGCTTATTTTCTTCATCAAACAAGTGATCTTTCTGAATATAGTTGACAGGAGAATATTAAAAGAGCCTCCAGGTGACATATTCATGCAGCTTATAGTTTTGACTACCTGCCAAAGTTGTAAAAAAACAATATATATTCAGTATACAATTAAAGAAAACAGGATAAAGCAGAGCAAATCAATACAGAAAATTATAAGCTGTGCCATCATTCTATGATGTTTAACACTGGTTATTGAAAAAGCTAAATAATTACTCTGGATGATCAACATATCTCTCTACTCCAAATAGTTTCAGCCGTACTGGATTTTTTTTTTACAGTTACATGATCACAATTATGTATGCTATAAAATGTTTTGTCTCTGTAAAAATGGATCCAATTCAAATTCAATTAACTTTATTTATCCATTAAGAACTTCAGTTGTGTAAAAAAGCATCAGTGTGCACACATTCATACACACACAGTTCAATCAAAGAGTCCTGAGTGAGTGAAGCTTGTAAACCAAGACAAATGATGCATGACAGATTAGCATGAATTAAATGAATGTTGGTTGTATTCCAGAACTGGTAATGAAATCCAACTACAAAGACATTAAGTCATAATGAAAGCTTACAATTACATTTTGAGGGGCTAGGGTGGCCTAGTGGTTAGATCACGCCCAACATAAGGAGGCTATAGTCCGCCATGCAGGCGACCCGGGTTTGAGTCCGACTCGTAGCTCTTTCCCTGTCCTGTCAAAGACAGGCTTAAAAGCCTCAAAATAAGTCTTACAAATACATTTTAGAGTCTGGAAATAATGATTTTTTGGCAACTTTTGCTTAAAAAAGACTTTATTACTTCATTTTGGACTGATCAACCAGTTTATACAATCATAATTTCATCTGTTTGTGGTTAAAACCAAATAATGATACACATAAGGAATGATGTAAAAGACTGAAATGATTGAAATAGTCATTTGTTTTGTCTTTTTCAGATGTGTGGTATTCAATAACAGAGGGGTTTCTGGTGAAACGCTCCTGGTAAGAATGAAATGTGTCTTTTCAACCTGTCACACTTTATTGAATGTCTTCATTTGTCGTTTCCATATTCAAAAAGGCCGACATCTGCATGGGATGTAAAGGACTGTTAAGGACAGTTGCTCTTCCCATTAGTCAGTCCGACCAGCCTCGCCAGCTGAGTTGTCCTTTTCACTGCTTCGGCCAGCGCGGAGCATGTCAGCTCCACACGTGTCACAGAGACCACAGGGGAGCCTGAGCAGACGCTGCACACCCAATGTTGTTGCACAGTGGGGATTAAGTTGCAAGCAGATACCGTATTTGAGCGCAGATCCACAGAAATATGACCTCGCTGAGCACGTGCTGTTCAGACACCTGGCCCTAATCTGTCCTCTTACACACCCGGGTGTATTTAGCCAACAGGATGGGCTCTGATAGTTCTTAGCATGCCCACTGTGTTTACATCCATTCTTCTCTGTATGCACATCTCCCCTTTATAACAGATGCACAATCTTGAGTGCAGCTTTGTCAGGCTGATCTAGTCATACCATCACCACCACACAGAGATCTCATCCTAAGCACAAATGGTGTTTATCACAGACAGTAGAGTAATGCTCCTCTTAGAGGGTGTCAATCTGAATCTGTTGTTTCATTCAGTTTCAGCTACAATTATAGTTTATGTAAAACATAAACATAAAGGTGACACTAATGCAAACTGTGTCCCTCAATTTGATTTGAATAGTATTCTTGGTCATATAGACTATTTAGCTGTCACAGCTGTCCTCCCATTAAGAGAAAAAAAAAAGTAAACTCTGTAACCTTGGCACTGTATCAAGTGTTGGTGGTGAGGAGGGAATTGTTCTATATTTGATGCAAATGATTCAGCTTGTGTATGCCTCTGTGACTGTTTTCTCTGTGTCCACTTAGTGTGAATATCTTCCATTGTTCAAATAGGCCAGCACTTCAGACTGACCCACTGTGTGAAAAATGCCCCCTGCCTCAAAGACTGTCCAGACTGTCAGTGCCCTACTTCTACCCTTGTTTAAAAAAAAAAAAAAAAAGCCTCATACATTTGCCATTTCTCGTGGAGATGCTTCAACAGTGCCAGCATTCAAATCTGTATTTTTATTTCCAATAAGTGTTTTCTATTTCTTTTAAATATATTTTCTATGTTAAGATTAAAGCTTTCAGTGCGGGGTCCAAAACATGTTCAGGCCCATTCGAGAAACTGAAAGAGAGTAGAAGAACAGGAGTTTACTTTGCCTCAGTTTCTGTTTGAATCTCAATGAAGGGACTTGAAAAGCTGCAGAGTCAACAGCATCCTGAAAAAAAAATCAGACTAGTTAAATCGGCTCCTTCGAGGTTCAAGCTGCTCTGCTTCATTATGTAAAGTTACATTCTCTGCCTAACAAACTCTTTAAACAATGTGAGGCTTAATCTGTTAATAAAAATGCCTGAATCAATTATAGTAGGATAGTATATATTCAAAGCTGCTGTTAAGTCATGCTTTTAAAATGTAACGTAAATATTTTAAACTTTCTCATGTTAACCAGTACAGTACATGGCAGGTTGTAGAGTTAAAAAAAATAGGGTTGTCAAACGATTACATTCTTTAATCACAATGAATCAATTTATTTCAATAGTTAATCACAATCAATCACATTTTTAAACACATGTTTGCAATTTTCATTATTTCACATTTACAAATTTAAATTGGTAGGCTTTTATTTTGAATGAATGCTGACAGCCATACGGTAAAAACACAACTTTTGAGATCTTTAATAGAGACTCTCTCCCTGGACTTCTGCAGTTCAACAGACACAAAGAGAGATGCTTGACACTCGGGATGCCAAAGTTTGTTAGTCATTTATGTAGATATTATTTCAGTTTAAGATCAATTTCACCTTTTAGTCGATGAGCCCTCAAAACATGTATCATGACTGTAGTGTCTTCATGTCCCATCCAGACCCCGAGGACCTACTGTGCAGCCAATACAGAAGATCTGGAGACAGTTATTGAGCACATCCAGAAGAATAATGAAGCTGCTCCCATCATGGCTGCTGGAGTATCAATGGGAGGGTAATGAAGCCACTCACTACCAGCTGACACGACTTAGTACCCTGCTAAGACATTTCAAAATGTGACTAAAATATGTTCGAGACACCTTTAGACATGTGTTGGTGATTGGTAGATAACTAAATTGCAATTAAGCAGCATACATTATAATACAAAGGAATCAACTGGGATAATATAGCCAACACTTCTCAATATGTCATCAGATTCTTTAGGTTCCTGAGTCTCAAAGTGATGTCAGCCCTGAAAAATCTAGCATTTGTCAGGCTGTGTGCAGTGCTGAAATATGCTCCCAATCACCAAAGGTGTTTTTTTTTTATTTTTTAAACTGCCCAGGACTAATCCCCTTCCTCTTGCCCTCTGACCAAATTCAGGATGATGCTCGCCAACTACTTGGGGCGCAAGGGCCGGGAAACCTGTCTGAAAGGGGTGGTGGTCTTCTCGGCAGGCTGGGATGTATTTGAGTGCACCGCTTCACTGGAAAAACCCCTGGACCGCTTCCTCTTCAACTCCTACCTCACAAGCTGCCTGCAAGCCTCCGTGCACAGGTCAGCCGGGCTCAGAGCGGGATTAGCACTGATGCTAATTCAGGGATAAATGTTTTGGGATCTTGAATAGCTTGGTTTTAAGTTTTTATTTTGTACTTTTTCCCTGTTTTTTAACAGGGAAAAATGGACTGATATTGGTTTGTGTATTGATAAGAGGATGAATATAACATTATTAAAACCCTTAAGAATTTAGCAAACATTCAATATATTTCTATTTGTGTGTAACTGTGGGCTTGACTTAATCCTGTTATGGTGCTACTTTCACAGAAGTTGAGCTTTATCTTTGTTTCTTTTAGTTGTTTCAACTTTGTCAGCATTTTAAAGGCATTTTCAGAAGCAAATCATTTCACCTAACAGTCTTCGGTGACAGTTTTATTTTCATCTCCCCCGCAGACACAGACCAGTGCTCGAACAGAGTTACGACATCGATCATGTCATGAAGGTCGCCATTATTTTCACTGACCCTAAACCACAAATGCTAATCCAATTAAACAAAGTAGCCGACATTTAATCAATTTACAATGTCCCTTCAGGCAAAGACCATTCGGGAGTTTGACGAGAGGTTCACCTCCATTATGTTCGGCTATCCTACCAATGATGACTACTACCATGATGCCAGTCCTGTCCACAGGCTGAAATCTGTGCAGGTGCCAATGCTGTGTCTGAATGCTGCTGATGACGTCTTTTCCCCGTCCCATGGTAAATCCCACCAGCGCCTACAGATTATCCATACAACCAGACTTCACTACCATACTTTTTAGAATTATTAGGAAAATAATTAATGGGAAGGAAATGTATTTTATATGGTGGCATGAAGAATGACAATCAAGCCCACTAGTAAGATAACATGACCTAAATCTTTTATCGCTTTCAGCCATTCCGGTGGAAGTAGTGAAGCAGAATCCCAACCTGGCCCTGCTCATAACTTGTCACGGCGGCCATATTGGTTTCCTGGAAGGCCTGTGGCCTCGGCAGAGCACTTACATGGACCGAGTCTTCAAGCAGTTTGCTAAAGCGGTAATCGAACAAGGCGGCCGACTCAACGACCTCTCCTGATAAGAGAGTTTTACTTTCATTCTTCCTCGGAATTTCCTGCCTTCCTGTAATCTTTTCTTCCATTCATGTCATTTATTTTACTTTGATTGCTGCATTCCATACTTTATTCCTTCCAACTCATATTTCCTTTCTTTCATTGTCCATCCTCCTTCCTTCCTTCCTTCCTTCATTCCTCCCTTTGACCTGTTTTCCCTTTCACCCTTTGCCTTCATCTCTCGGTTCATCATTTGTGCCTTCCCTCTCTACCTAATCCTATTCTATGTGTTTCCTTCCTTCCATTGATTTTCTTTTATCATTGTGCTCGTTGCTTCCGTTCCATTCTTCTTCCTGCCACAAGCAAAAAAAAAAACAACTTTCTTATTTGAAAGGCGTATCTTATATATATTATAACGCAGCGTTTGTGTTGCATTTAACATGGCTTTATTTATTCCATACAGTAAACAACTCATTGTATGTAACATAGTATGCTTTTAAAAAAAAAAACAAGAATAGCTGTTCATGTTAATGTTGAAAAGCTGAATCTGTGCTCATCTTGATTAGTTGCGTTAGCTAGCAAAAAAAAAGACTTTTACCTTGTGCAATTATTTGCGGTTAAAATAAGTACTGTAAATGAAAACTCAATCATCTATGTTCATGAAGCATCTTTTAGTACTCGTTTTAGTAGGATTCTAGCCCTCAGGGATTGTCTTTATTTACTCATACTCCTTTTTATCCTCTGTCGTTTTGTTTTTTGTCAATCATTCTCCCTCAGTGTGTCTTTTTGTTTAAAGGTAGATGATATTGAAGTTTGTTTCTTTCCTTCTAGATGTTAAAATGCAATATCATGGGAACATATGTTTTTGTATTCTTGCGGAGAGTTAAATGTGACGATCAATACAGCTTCTTATGTATGTATGAATATATATTATGCAACAGTCAGAAGTTAATTAGCTTAGCTTAGCATAGAGAATGGGAACAAGGAGTAACAGTTGGCTAAAGTCCGTCCAAGAGTTAAACAAAAGGAAAAAAAATTCCTGCAAGTTCCAGTTGGTGGATTTTGTTATCTTTGAAAAGAACCAAGCGAGCAGTTTGCCCTTGTTTCTATTCGTTATGCTAAGCTAAGATAATAGATTCCCTTATATTTAATGCGCAGCCATAACAGTGGTATTAATCTCATCAAGCTCTCCTCAAGAAAACGAACGAGAGAATTTCCCAAATTATTGAATCACTCCTTCCTTTAACCTTCTGCATGCACTATTACTTTCACACATTCTACCTTAACATACACCAAATAGTTTTACAAATGTATATAATATGGAGGAAAATAAAAATCATTAATGACAAGGAATGTGAAATTGCACTATTTTAGTTGATACTACCATGCCTCTAATTCCTTAATGCATTGCACTTCATTTCATTGGATATATGAAAGTATATCCCAAAGGCTGACCAGAGCAGTACCTGAACTCCACGAGGTATTTGTTAGTGGATATGTCGGTTGTTTTTTATGTATGTAAGTCTGACGGTGCTACATACAGTGATGTTAATGAAGGTAATGCAATATAGGGACGGACAGCGTACATCACGGATGTTTGAAGCAGTGTTTTTTTTCGTTTTCGCCAACAATGATTAAGGGACTGGCTACCGCGTATGAGTTGGCATCCACGAAACGAGTAGATCTGACTCTCGGCCAGTTCTGCAGTTATGCACTGCATGAGGGATTTGGGGAATTTTTGGTGTCTGTTTGTTCTGCCAAGTGTCCACCCAGCAGCACGTGTCTCATCAGTGTCATCTTGTCCTCAACCTTAACATCACTTTGTTACGTGTAGCACAAAGGACATGGTCGTTTTATTCATAGGATGCTGTAATTCATTTACGTGTAAAGATGACGTAAAAAGAAAACACTGATTAACATGTACAGCAATAAGGTTTTAAATTTAAAAAATGTCTGTATAGTAAGTACCAGTATATGCACATTGTCAACATGGGTGTACTATGCTGTATTTAATAAATTATTAAACAGTCAAAGTGTGGGTTGTCTACAGTCCTTCTGCTTGTAATGCACTTTATAGACTGAGTGAACTGCTCGACTGAGTGTGTACTGCAGGTAAGAATAATTCACTGTAACTGCCTTATGTCAGCACTTCTGCTCTTGGTCTTTTTTTCCCCTCCTTCTCTTTCTCCTTCTGTCCCTGTTTGCCCTTCTTTCTGTCTCTGTTTCTCTCTGTCCTGTTTTCCATCTCTCTTTCTCTCTCCATCATCTTTTCTGTCCCTCTGTTTCTCCTTCCGTACTTACCGTATTTCCCACTCTCACTTTCTTCATCTCACTATCTGCTCTCCTTTCTCTTTCTTTACCTAAACGAGGCATATTTTACTTATTTATTCCTGTGGCTCTTTCTGTCCTTTCTCTCTGTCTTCACTAAAACACTTTTTGTCCCTTTCTGTCTGTCCTTTGTCTTTTTCTGTCTGTTCTGTTTTTCTTCACTTATAAAATGCATGTTTTGTTTTTTTCTGAGTCTCAATATTGATAATCCCAAAACTGCTTAGTCAGAGGCTCATCAGTTACGTGGTGTTCAGCTCTCTCAGGACCTCACCCCCTCCTTAGAGTCGTGTCCCCTAAGGTCAAAACATTCGACAGTGTCACCACTGTGGCTGGCTTACCACACAGTTGTGTCTCTGCAAGGGCCAGGCTCCCTTCCTCCTACATCACGGTATTGGGTTTTGGTCACTGGAATTGACTCTCTGCACACTCTCACGGGCTTAAGCTGCTGATAGGATATGGACTGCTGCAGCAGTAGTGGATGTGATCCACCAAAGGCAAACTGTAATCCCCGGGCACTCCACTTACCTTCACCCCAACCCCCCATTAAGCCTTTAGACAGATGAGCTTTGGTTTTAGCTGGCTGGTTTATAGAAGCCTGAGAGTAATTAGAGTAGTCTGCCAAGCAGCATGAGTAATTTTCTGATGGTTATCAGCTATAAAAATTGATATTATGTGGCAGGAATCAGACTATTATCAGCTAATATGAGAATGTTAACTGCAAAATTGGAATGAACGCACAGGCCATGTTTAACACGTTAAAAAGGAATAAAAGGATTTAACTGGTATGGTACAGTCACACGTTTAATCATGTCAGCGTCTGAAAGTAGTTTAATAGTAAGCACTGCATTGCCTGAGGACTCAATAATGGAAAGAAATGTGTCAGAGGAATTAGCAAGAGACATTTTCCTTCAAAAGGTTGGTTGAAATATCAGCTAATAACAAACCACACGGGGGAACAATTGTAGGAAACAGTTGCATATATATAAAAAAAAACTTCAAATGTACATATTTCAAGCGTTCAAAATCCTTGAGACATGACAAATCTTAACAAACAAATCACTTGTGCTGCATATGGCATAGCCTTAGTTATAATTAGGTGCAAGAATCAGGATGCCATCCACTCTGTGGTGCCCTTTCTTCCTTATCCTACCTATCCTGACTGCAGGTGGCTGAAAATAGCTTTGTGTTATATCACACAGGGGGCTATAGGTTGATGGAACGTGTGCTCTAATATTACCTCTCAAGGAGCTGAAATAGTACTGTCCCTGGACCGACAATGCCCCTGTGCCCTTACAGAGGAGATCCTGAAGCATCCATTAAGAAGCCATTTCTCCTCTCGATAATGAGAGCGGGGTCATGGTGCATATAGTTACAGCACAGCTACAGAGGTGTTTAGGTGAAACAAATAACAAGGAACTGGGGAGGCTGAGAAATGTGCAAGGCTCTTGAGCAGAATTAAAAGATGCGGGATTGGATGGATGCAGAGGGGAGTGAGAGGATTATTAATCACAGGCGAATGGCAGGGCTGCACATGCATTTCAACTGCACTGCTTAAGCTTTGTATTAAAGCACTTGTAACCCACTTTCAAATGCTCAGCAACTACATGGAAAGCAAACCAAAATAACACAGAAGTCATCATACAAATTGAAGCCGGAGCTTAAGTGTAAGGCCAGCAAATTTGAAAACAGTTGTATAATGACATCTGTGGCTGCAGAGGGGGCATCGTGATGTCATGAGGGTTATCCTGGGTCAGGGCCTTGAGAATTGAAATCTTAACACCTTCTCTCTCTATATCCCCCCCAGAAACTGCGGATTAGCTTCTACTGATGCACAATAGAGAGTATCCTGACTTATTGTTGTGCTGTGTGGTACTCCAGCTGCACTGCTGCAGACATAAAAAGATCTGCAGAGGGTTGTGAAGACGGCTTGTCGGCTCCCCTCTGCCAAACCTGAACAACATCCACTCGAGCCGTCTCCTCACACGGTCCACAAACATCCTGCAGGACCCCTCACACCTCGGTAACCACCTCTTCACCACCCTCCCCTCACGTAGACGGAGAACCCCCAACACACGCACAAACAGGCTGCAGAACAGCTTTTTCCCCAGAGCTGTGGACATGCTGCATACACAGACACACAGCTAGAACTCACCCCGGACTCTGTGCAATAATGGACTCTTGCTGTCATGTTTTAACCACATTGCTCCTTTAGAGTATTTATTTTAACGGGTATGAATGTGTATGTGGGTATGGGTGAGATGTGCTTGGCTTGTGTTTGTGTGTGTGTGTGCTGGTGTATTTGTGTATTTTATATTTCATATGCTGCAGCTGGATTGCTCCAACAGAGTTTCGTTGTATAACATGCTATGACAATAAAGCTCTATCTATCTATCAGTGCTTGAAAGGGTGTACTTTTCCCAAACTTGTTCCCTTTCCCTGCTCTCTCCCTACACTCAATACATTCGAAACAATGCAATACATTCAAACCTTGTTCTATTTCGCTGTAAAGATGCAGTCCAAACCATTATATCATGACTTGCCTTGCTTGACATTTTTTGTCTATTTAGTCTCCTGTTCACACTTTGTTCTAATTCAAAAGCAAAGCACTGGGAGGGAGGCAAATCAGTCCTGTGTATGTCGAAGGCAATGTAGAGGATAATGGTATCTCAGGAACAGTATATTTGACTCATGTTCATGCAAGGTTTGGAATGGAACCAGCATGTAGAAGTATTCTTTGTAACAAGAGGAAGTTGCTCACCCATTGAGCTATTGTTGTACCCTGCATGAAGGGAATCCTTTAGTGTAGAAGTCATTATAATATTGAATGTAAATCGAGGGATAATGACAGTCCTGGAACGGGCAATCTGACTGAAGTCATACCAGTGTTTTTTGACACATGGGGCAGTTGCTCATCCACTGACCAATCACTCCGCCCTGCATTGAGGACCCTCAATCAAGAGCATCAAAAAAAACATCAGTAATGTAGATGTGATTTAGATATGATGGAAAAGGAACATCCACCACACTGACTGGGCCTGCTTGTTAGGGTTTATTCACATTCCAGTGCATTGTGGTCGTTTAAAAAGGGTCCCACACCCCAGTGGGAGAAAGCTAGAACATTCCAGTCCCAAGAGAGGGCCCCTGCCGGTAGACTGCCAAGAGAAGTCAATGCTAATCACACTAATATGCCACTTTGCAGGGTTTTCTTGTTAGTGTTTATCTGCTTTCCAGTGCATTGTGGTAGTTCAAAAGGATGGTCTCGATCCTAGTTAGAGGAAGCCAGAACTTTTCAGCACCACGCAGGAAGACCCACCCCAAGATTCGAACCATGAGTTGAACTCTGAATCTCCTGCTGTGAGCCTGTAATCATACCCACCAACTCATAAAGGCAAGTGAAAAGAATAGTTGAGACTCCAGAAGCCAGAACAATACATCCTGAAGGGAAGACCCCTGTTGACCACAACATCAACGTGTCACCTCTTAGGGCAAGCTTGCTAGAGTTGATCAACTTTCCTGTGCATTGTAGTGGTTCAAACGTCGTCCACACATTAGTGGGAGGAGGCCAGAACATTCCAGCTCTACATGGGAAGGCCCTTGTTGGGGATTCAAACCCAGAACCAAATTGCTGTGAGGTGTCAGTGCTGACCACTCCACAAACATGCCAAATGGAAGCTTAGATATATTCTTCAAGAGAAAGTTCGAAGCTGTTCAAAATGTATAGTTCAAAACTACTAGACCCTTTTGCATGCTTAAATAATCATAGTAACCAGCAGCAAAGATTACAGTCTTTCTAAAATAAGAATCATAGAATCTTCCCCAATCCCAACCTATCAAGATAAACCTTTGCCTGATGTTCAAACGTAAAAACCATTCAAGTATCATCTGAAAAAAAGCATCCTTATATCTTTGCTGTCTTGTTATTACAGCAAGTATTAGCAGCATATTAGATATTAAATATTAAAATTGGCCGTGTAAGATGAAAAACCTAATCGATGGGAATCTTTATCACAGTTTAACAAATGTCTTAAAAAGCTCTATCAAACCTATTTAATAATATATGACCTCATTTGATTTCAGTTGGATCCTTTGCTCTCCGGTTTATTAATATTATGTTTTTTTGGCACAGATAAATAACTTTAACCAGTCCCTATAGAGATGGTGAGTTGATTCAACACCACCACCAAAAACAACAACAACAACAACGCACAAATGTGCTTTAGCTGCAATGAACACACTATGAGCCTTTTTTGGATTGAAGTCACAAAAGTCAAATAAATCTGGCGTACTCCATCTACAGCTTTTTTTGATGGAAGAAGGAGAGCCGCTGAAAGGCACATCAGCGGATCTTCAGCACAGGTTGAACTCTAACCAGCAGGTGAATTCAGTCTTTTACAAATGCTCATACAGTCTGTTCAAGCATGATTGCTCCCTTTTTTATTCTCATAATATGGAGTTAATGCTTTCTAAAATGTTCAAACCTACATGTGGATTTCTGAATTTGAACTTTTCCAGAACAGGGACGTCCTGTTCATCATTTTGTGCAGTTTATGAAAGATGTTATACCACATTTGGAATAACATTTGCATCATGTTATATCCAGAAACTTTGAGATTAAATGCAGAGTAACTAAAATATCAGAATGCATATTCCTGAGTCATCTACAGGACAAACGTTTGACAGTGTAGTGGATTTATGCTAA